AAAACAGAAAGAAGGAAAGAGGAAAGAAGGAAAGAAGGAAAGAAAGGAAGGAAGGAAGGAAGGAAGGAAGGAAGGAAGGAAGGAGAAAGAAAGTTTTAAAATGAGAACGTCATTTACATATCCACATCAGGGTCACATTCTTTGAGGTGCTCTCCAGGCCTTGATCACTGCAAATTTGTCTTTAGCAAAGCTGCCAACATAGCAGACACAGATTTGGCATAGTCACTAGTTTCCCATGATTCTCTAGGTGCTTTATAATTAATGGTTACAAGCCATCTCTGCTAGCTGAGCCATCAAAACTTAAAGAACAATGCCTCTGTTGTTTCTAGTCACTGGATAATGCAAATATTGCTACAATCCAGACCTTCATGGACACTGCTTTAGTTATTTTGTACATTTTTGAGAATAAACTCCAATTTCTATTCAGTCTGACAGCTTCTCTAAAAATTATATGGATACATAGTGAATGTACATGTCCTGCTGAATAATATCACTTAAATGGAAAGTTGCATGTGATATGTATTTTATCATGGTGGAAGGGGGAATGTGGATTTATACATGGTTGATAGGAAACTCTGAGACAGGAGCTGTGTTTGAGAGCAGTGCCACAGTGCCTAGAGACTGGGCAATGTGCTCTGGGTAAAAGCCCATGGTCAGAGATGGTCTGCATGTGAAATGAGTCAAGCTATGCACGCACCTTTTTGGAATTCGGGCACATAATGGTATGTCTTCTCTCCCAGATGTATTAAGAAGTTGGAAAGATTCCCACTAATTGCTATGGCAAAGACCAGTGTGGCACATATCCAAAAGGGGCCTGCAAAAGCAACCAGAAAGAGGAAAAACAAGTGCTTGCATTAGACTCTTACAGAATTTCTTATCAGCCTCTCCTTGCTCAGACAAGGGGGTGGGGGTATGATTTTAGATACAATCAACACTTACTTAATGGGAATTTTCATTTTTAAAAGGTCAAACAAGTCAGCAATTAGATGCTTTAAACGCTAGGACAATTAGAATCCATAGGCCCAAACACCTTCCACAACTAGGTGAACGAAGACATTGATCTGTGCAGTTTCCCTCATCAGAGGATCATCCAAAAACACACAGGTTTTTTGCTAAGCTTTCCTTCAGTACAAAAGAAGCAAAGATTACTTCCCTTATCTAAGTTCCAAAGCTTTTAAAAAATATTTTATTTATTATTTTTATTTTATGTGTGGAGTATATTGCCTGCATGTATGTGAGTGCATCCGTGTCATGCAATGCCTTGGAGGTCAGAAGAGGGCTTCGGATTCCCCTGGAATTGGCGTTAAGGACGGTTCGTAGCCACCATGTGGGTGCTGGGAATCAAACCCAGGTCCTCTGCAAGAGCAGTCAGTGCTCTTAACCGCTGAGCCATCTCTCCAGCCCCAAAATTCCAAATCTTAATGTCATGGAAGAATGGTTCCATCAGTGAGGTCCTTCTGTGTTAGAAATGAAGAGCAGGGCAAGAAGAAAACTTCAGGCAAAAGTCAACCTATAGGGGGCTGAAGAGATGATTCAGGGGTTAAGGGCACTGGCTGCTCTTGCAGAGGACCCAGATTCTATTCCTAGCACCCACATGACCACCGACAGCCATTTTTAACTCCAGTTCCAAGGGATCCAACGCCCTCTTCTGGCCTCTATGGGTACTGCATAACACAGGTGTACTTACATACATGCAGGCAAAATACTCATATACATATATAAAAATAAATAAATTTTTTATTTGTCTTTTTGAGACAGGGTCTCCCTATAGCCCAGCTTGCCTGGAACTCACTAGTAGGCCAGGTTGACCTTGAACTTACAGAGATCTGCCTGCCTCTGCCTGCCAAGTGCTGGGATTAAAGGCATATGCCACCATGCCTGGCTAAAAATAATTTTTTAAAAACTAAAAGTCAACGTCATCTAACAAATCACCATCACTGTGTGTGCATACACATATGTGCATATGTATGAGAGTGAGAGACAGAGAAACAGATGGGGCAGAGAGAGACAGTTAAAAGCTGCCTTTTGGGGGCTGGAAAGATGGGTCAGAGGTTAAGAGCACTGATGCTCTTGCAGAGGCTTCGGGTTCAATTCCTAGCACCCACATGGCAGATAACAACCATCTGTAACTCCAGTTCCAGGGGATCTGACACCATCTTCTGACCTCTGCGGCACTGCACAACACTGGTGCACCTACCTACATGCAGGCAATACACACATATACATAAAATAAAAATAAGTTTTTTTTTAAGCTACTTTTCCTCCTTTTTTTGACAGACAAAACTCTTTTCTTTCTTTCTCTTTTTTAAATTTTACATATGTGCATAGTGCATAGTAACCACTCTCACACCCCACTCTCTCCATCTCCCTAATACCTGACTACCCTCTCTTCCCTACAAATCTCTTTCTCACATTCATGTCTCTTAGTTTTGTTTTATGTTCCACTGAGTTTCACCAGGATCATCTTGTGACCAGGAACTTATAGCTATCCTCCTTTCTTTTTATTTATTTATTAATTAATTTATTATTTCTATTTTATGTGTATGAGTGTCTTGCCTGCATGTATGTAAGTACAATGCCTGTGGAGGTCAGAAGAGAGCATTAGATCCCCTGGAACTAGAGTTGTGGACAATTGTTAGTCTCCATGTGGGTGCTGGGAATCAAACCCAGGTCCTCTGCAAGAGCAGCCAGTGCTCTTAACTGCTGAGCCATTTCTCCAGTCCTTATTTTTTTATGTGTATGAGTGTTTTGTTTGTGTGTAAGTAAGTGCACACATGTCATGCAATGCCCACAGAAGCCAGAAGAGGGCATTGGATCCCCTGGAACTGGAGTTATGGACAGTTGTTAGATGCCAATGAGTGCTGGGAACTGAACCCAGGTCCTTTGCAAGAGCAGTCAATGCTCTTAACTGCTGAGTCCTCTCTCCAGTCCCTCCTTTCTTTCTTTCTTTCTTTCTTTTTTTTAATGAAAAAGTAATTCATCATCTGGGCACAGTGACATACTCCTGTAATCCAAGTACTCAGGAGGCAGAGGTAGGAGGATCACTTCATGTTTAAAACCAGCTGGGTCTATATAGTGAGTTCCGGGTCAGTTGGGCTACATACTAAGACCCTATCTCACAAAGAAACAAAACAAAACAAAACAAGATAGTTACATGATCAGAAGGTTCAAAAGGAAAAAAGAAAAAAAGGAAAAAAACTGAGCAACCAAGCATCCCTCTTTCTTAGTGTCCTGCATCTGCACTTGCCTCCTCAGAGCTCCCCACTGTTTCTAGTAAATCCTGCCAGAAATAGCCAACATATAAAAGCAAATGTGTGCATGAGTGTATGCATGTTTTACACAGGTGACTACATATACTCTGCTGTGCACCTTTCTATTTTTGCCTTAATCTAGCCTAGAGATTCTACCACAACTACCCATAAAAATCAGCTATTACCCTTTCAGCAGATGTTGGTTTCTTAAGCACCATCCTTCTCTCTCCCTACCTAGAAAAAGGCCTATGGGGCTGGGGAGACAGTTCAGTCAACAAAGCACCTGCTGTCTAAGAGCAAGATCTGAGTTTGGATTCCAGCACCCATGTAAAAAATCCAGCATGGTGGCACATGCTGTAACTCCAGCTTTGGGGATGGGGAGCAGAGGTAAGCAAATTCTTGACACTCACTGGCTGGCCGGCCTAGTGGAGTAAATGAGCTTCAGGTTCAGGGAGAGACTCCATCTCAAAAAACAAAGGTGGAGCCCAAAGAACAGAAAGACGCTCAACATCACCTTCGGGGTCACACAAGCACAAACACACATGTACACATTTCTGCACGCAGGCATGCATATACCACGCACATAAACCACAGACATATACAACACCTCACATATACAGATTTTTAAAAATGTACTATGTAGTACAAATATAATTTTAAAAATTGAGATATTTTGAATTTTCCAATTTCACTAATATTTGGCAATATCTTTTGTGATAATTGACATATCACAAAATTAAGAAAATTATTGTATTTGGGGAGAGGGTTTGAAACAGGTTCTCACTATGTAGCTTTGGCTGGCCTAGAGCTCCCTATGAGGACCAGACAGGCATTAAACTCACAGAGATCCACCTGCCTCTGCCTCCCAAGTGCTGGCCTACACTACCACTACTGGCCATGAGCACTTTTTAAAGCCAAGTATTGACTCCTGAAAGTAGGAAAGGAAACACAGGCCACCAACATCAGCTTTTGATGAGGTGCCCGCTTCCACATTAGAATGCAAGCTTTCTACCTCAGTCAAGGGCTAAATCTCATGGTATTATTTTGACTGCCTACCATGAAAGACCCTAAATTCTTTGCAAAGGCTTTTTTTTTTTTTTTTTTTTTTTTCTTTTCCTCCAGGAATTTTTTTAACTAACTCTCAGGAGTCAAATAAAAACACCCTCTGCCCCCAACAGTGCAATTCTCAAACAATTCCCCACATTTGCTCCAGCTTAATTGGACATGGTAAAGAAGCAAAGGACACTGCACATACCATAGAGATCTGGGTTGCTACGGATGTATAACCTGACAAAATTCTTTCCAGGTATTGGTAAAAGAGATCCTTTTATTCTGTCAAAGACCTGAAAAATAATACAGCAGTTATTCTACTGAAGGGTTTCTTAAATAATTTATTAATTGAATTTCATACAATGTATTTTGATCACATTCAGATCCCACTACCCCTCTCTAGCCCTTCCTCACTACCCTCCTCCCACCTAATTTCAGGTCCTCTATTATTATCTATCCTTTTCTTTTAATTTTTGTTTTTTAAAGGTCTATCAATTCCAATCTGAACCTCCCAAGTGCTCCTGGATGTAAGTCCATGCCCTGAAGTCTGGTCAACGTACCAGGCATCACACCAGTAAGGAAAACTCACTCTGCCTCTCCAAACAGCCATCAGCAGCCAATAGATTCTCAGCTAGGGCTGGGCTTCCTACCCACCTCCCACATCCATGTTGGGACCTGCCAGTCTTGGGTTTGCACAAGTCTTGTGCATGCTTTCCTAAGTGCTCTAGGTTCATATACGCAGGTTTGTTTTAAGAAGTTTAATATATTCAACTACTGCAAAACTGAAACTTGGTTATTCAAGCTTTTATAACAGTATTTTTAGGTGCAGCAAGTCTCTATTTTTATCAGACCAGTTCCAACACAGAATGGCTCTCACATGATCTGGTTGTTTAATCCCAGAAGAAACAAGTCCCCATTATGGAAAAGAAAGAGTGAAATTGGTTTACAAACCTGGTAAGTGTCTACATCAAAGAATGTCTGGTAGTATTCAAATGTCCAGAAAGGGGAGCTTTTTTTCTGGCTGGCCAGTAACTATCAAAAGTGAAATAAATAAATAATAAATAAAACATAGTGAACACAGAATCAACTTCCTAATTCCCAGAGAAACCAAAATATATGACTGGCATGCAACAACCAAGGACAACAGTCATGCCCCACTCCTAGCCTGATGTAGAAACAAGCAGCAGTTTATTTTATTTTATTTTATTTATTTTATTTTATGTGAATGACTATGTTGCCTACATGTATGTAAGTGCACCTGTGCTGTGCAATGCCCATGGAGGTCTGAAGAGGGCATCAGGTCCCCTGGAACTGGAGTTACAGACAGTTGTGAGCCGCCAAGTGGGTGCTGGGAACCAATCCCAGGTCCTCTGCAAGAGCAGCTAGTGCTCTTAACAGCTGAGCCATCTCTCTAGCCCTGCAAGCAGCAGTTTTTAAATGACACCAAAAGGTTTCAAATCCCAGCCCCTGACTCACTCCTCCTCAGGCTTAGTGCCTTTATCTAAAAAAAAAAAAAAGTTAACAGGATCTCTACCTTGGAGAAAGTTAGACTGAATAAATATGGACTATGTTATTCTGTACAATCCAAGGAGGCCAGACAAGTATAAGGGAAAAAGAGGGAAACTGGTCAAGACTAGGAGGATTACAGAGCTGTATTACAACAGTCTGTCACATCTGTTCAACAAGCAAGGACACAAGACCACCCAAAACTGGCTGGGACCAACATGGCCAACTAAGGTGACTGCTGATTGTCCCTTCCTTTATTATATTAGCATTTCCAGTATCATTAGCCCTACAAAATTGTCTGTTCTTATCATGCATCTGATGTCATGCCACATCTAGAAGACTCCTTGTTAAGGACAAAAAAGGGCAGTAAATTCTATTATGGGGAAAATCCTCACCCATTCCTGGACTTCCCCACCTTTTCCCTCACCTTAACTCATGAATAATCCTCTCCTACATTAAATTTGGCCCATAAACAGAGCTATCCAAAATTCACAAGAGGAGCTATCTACACTTGATTTAAAAAAAAAAAAAAAAAAAAAAGGAGCTTTCTAAAATTCATAGAAGGAGTTATCCAAAAACCCAACAGTGTGACTCCCTGGTAAGCCTTCACTCACCAGGAGAGTTTATCTTTGCCCTGTGATAAACTTCTCCCAGTTGCTTTCTTGTCTTGTCTCTGACTTCTTTCTTTGATGGAGACAAGAACCTTCCAGGTTCCCAGGAGTTGGGGAGATGGCTTAGTGGGTAAAAGCACTTGTGGTGCAAGCTTGATGACCCAGGTTTGACTCCCTTGGAACTCACATAAAAAGCTAGATGTGGTGGCATGCATCTGTAATCCAAGCCCTGCAAACTGCCTAGGAAAGCTCATGAGCCAGCTAGTGTGGACTGCACACAGCAGAAACAGTGAAAGAGACCCTGTCTCAACAAGGTAGAAGGAGAAACCTGACTCCTAAAAGTAGTCCTCTGACCTCCACACAAGTGCTGTGCCATTCTTATGCTTACACACACACACACACACACACACACACACACACACACACTCACACACACAAAATTATGTGTTTTTTAAAATTCTTTAAAAGAGCTGGAAGCCTTAGAAAGAGGTCTCAGTCTAGTCTTTTTATCGTTGAGAACCCTCACCATTACCTCTTGGGTTGGAGAGATGGCTCAACAGTGAAGAATATTTGCTGTTCTTCCAGAGGACCCAGGTTTAATTCCCAGCACCCACATGGTGGCTAACAATTGTCTGTAACTCCAGTTCCAAGGGATTTGACACCCTCTTCTGGTCTATGTGAGCATTGCATGCACATGGTGCACTTACATACATGCAGGCAAAACACTCATACACATAAAATAAAAATAATAAAGTATTTCTTTTAAAGAAAGAAAACCCTGACCATTACTTCCAGTAATACAATGGCGTGCGCGCACACACACACACACACACACACACACACACACACAAAGGCAATCGGTATAAATACTACTTTTCCTTCTCCAAGTTCTTCAAGGTCTGTATTACCATCACCACCTACATTCTCAAAAATCTGCCATTCTAAGCCAGTCATGGTGGCACACACCTAAAATATCAGCACTTGGGAGGCGGAGGCAAGTGGAGCAATAAGTTCAAGGTCACGGTCAGCCAAAAATTGAGCCTGGGACAAGGCTGTCTCAAAAAAATAAATAATCTGCTATATTAATTCACTCTAAAATACTGAAAATATTACTGTCTCTGACACAAAAAACAGACAAAAAGAAACATTTCAAGGAGGCTCATGCCTGTGCCCAATATCCAGTTCACCAAGGGCACATGTAGGCCCTAGGCCAGGAATCTGCCATCTTCTGGCGTCTGCAGAAGAGTCTCACTGGAGAAGGTAGGATGAACCTGAGCTGCAAGAAGACCCATTTTCCGTTAAGTGTGGTAAGAAACTTTCTTACTCTCACATACTGCCTGTAAATGCCTCCCAACTGGTGGACAAAACTGACATGCTGGGTAGAATGTCTTTTCAATCTTTTCCCCCTTATATGCTTCTTAAATGTTGATGTCTGCTGTTATTCATACATGCAATGTTTATTTTACTGGGCAGCTTCTCTGAGCTATGCCTGGAAAATGGTTCAACATTGATCTGGATGTTTCTAAGGAGGTGTTACTGGATGAGACTTACTCAGAGGAGAGTAAACTGCCCTCTACATTGTGGGTGGATGGCTTTCTGGTGCTGGTATGGGACTCCAAGAGGCTTACCACAGGATTCACCTAGCCCCAAAACTGGTTGGACACAGCAGACAGATGAGTCCCCAGGTGAGAATGTTGTCCTTAAGGTCTACCATTCCATACATTCTTCTCTATCCCCCAAATCCTCCATTTGGGTAATTGGGGACACCAAGAATAACTTTTGGGGTTCCAAGCTCTGAAGAGCTGAAAGAAATGCCTATAGCTGCACCCCTGAAACACACGGGCTTGCCCTGTGGCTGGGGCCGTACTGCTCTACTATGTCTTTCGAGTCCCAGTTTGCTCATATGTGGGATCTGATCAATCCTGTTTGTGTCCTGGAGTGTTGATTCGTTATCTAAAAACCCTGGTTTGGGGCTAGATGTTTCTTCAGGCCAAGTTACCTGCCTTCTCGTGTTTTCTAGCTTCTTTCCAGTGCTCTAATACCTGTACCAACTCTAGGTACCATGTCTCCCTCCCAGTGTCATCTGTTTACAACTTGTTGTTTCAGTGTTCAGAACCAGTGGAGGTATGCCTTGACCTCTGACCTCAGGATGAAAGTCCCTGATGGGATCTGCCTGGAAAGAGGTTGGAGTCTCAACTCTGACAATAGCAGAGATTTAAAATTCCTTCTAGGTTTACACTTCCTGTATGTAATCCCCTTTTCACTGTGCACTCTGACTTGATTTATATCCATCTTTCAACCACAGAGAGCAAAGTTTGCCTTAGTTTTTTGAGACAGGGTCTCAGTAGCCCAGGCTGTCCTAGAAGTCCTGATCCTCCCAAGGCTCCCAAGTACACCCAGATTAGAGTTATGCCACCATGCTCGATCTTACTTCTAATGAACTTGGCCTTTTGCCTGTTGTCTAAGAGGGAAGTTTGGATGCTGTTACTTTGCAGTGTTGATCAGCAGGTTAGAGAAGTAAGAAGTCAGAGTATTTTAGAGCTAATTTCTTGGTGCCCCTAGAGAGAATGCTGGGTGGCCACGTTTAAATTTAGATGTAATGGGAAATATTTTAAACCCAGAACAAGATCTTTCTAAAGTAACTGAAATTTGAAAGAAGGGCAAGTTTTAGAAAGCTCAAAAGCTACATCCCATTAGTTAAAAGGACTTAATTCAAAGTATGAGTTTCTGGCCCTTAATAAAATTTCCATTTGGAAGAATGTCATCTTCCCTGCTGATGAATTCTTAAAGGAAAGATACTCAGTCCATACAGCAAGTCTCATCTTTTGACCTTTTTGTTCTCACTGGGTCTTCAGCTATGTCCTTCTCAATGGTGTTTAGATGAGTTCTTTGTCTCTGAGATGTAAATTTTCTGTTGTGTGTTGTGTATATGCATGCGAGGGGGTGCGTGTGCACGTGCAGAGGCAGAGGTCGACGTTGGATGTCTTTATTGCTATTCAGCTTATTTTGGAGACAGGTCTCTCACTGAACCTGGAGCTAGCCTCCTGGCTGACCAGCAAGCCCCAGGGATCTCCCATCTCTACTTCCCCAGTGTTGGAGCTATAGGTATGTGCCACTATACCCAGCTTTTTATGTGGGTGGTAGGGATCCAAACCCAGGCCATTATGTTTGTGTGGCAAGCACTTTACTACTGAGCGATCTCCCCGATTCAGATGGAGGTAAAGGCACTTGCCTGTAATCCCAGCATTCTGTAATCCAAGGTGAAGAAAGGAGGATCAGAAGTTCAAGGACATCCTTGATTACACGACAAGTTTGAGGCCAGGCTGAGCTACATGAGACCTTGTCTCAAAAAAATAAAATAAGAGGCTGGAGAGATGGTTCAGCAGTCAAAAGCATGCACTGATCTTGCAGAAGACCAGAATTACGTTCCTAGAGCCCATTTCAGGTAATTCACAACTGCCTGTAACTCCAGCTCTAGGGAATTCAATGCCCTCTTCTAAGGGCACCTGCACACATTTGCACATACATACACACGTGCATATACAAAAACACACATGCATACACATAAAATAAAAAAATAATAAAGGCTTATCTTTTAAAATATTTTATTTATTTATTTATTTGTTTTTTTTTTGAAACAGGGTCTCCCTGTAGCCCCAGCTGGACTAGAATTCACTATGTAGACCAGACTAGCCTTGAACTCACAGAGATCCACCTGCCTCTGCCTCCCAAGAGCTGGGACTACAGGTGTGTGCCACCATGCCTGGCCTTATTTGTTTTTATGTGTATGAGTGTATTGCCTACATATATGTAAGTGCACCCATGTTGTACAATGCCCACAGAGGTCAGAAGTGGGTATTGGATCCCCTGGAACTGAAGTTAGGAGTTGTTAGCTACCATGTCAGTGCTGGGCCA